CCCTTTCTGAGCCAAGGTTTGTTAGTGTTAGACTCACTATTTCTTTCTAATCTAGATGGTTGTAAAAGTTACCTTACTGATTTGACTTTCATTATTCTGATTACTATTATTAGTAAGGTTAATAATCTTTACAAATTTAATGGCTATATATTTTTCTCTTCTGTAAATCAGCTGTACTTCTTCTGGTTGATTGTCTTTTCTGACAAATTTAACGAATACTTAGAAGGTGTGGACTTTAATTGTTGTTTCACAAATAACTTCTCAAAGCATGACTCGCCTTTTCACTTTGCTGGTTCTTTAATTAAACTGAAGTTTTAATTTCAATAAAGTCAAATTGATTGATTATTTCCCTTAGGGTCACACTTTCTCTGCTATGCTTAAAAGAAAATCCAGCATCATGGTGATGAGATATTTTCACTTTCTCCAAATTGTTTTTTGACTTGTATTAAACTAAATTTAATGAGGTTTTTTTGCACATGGTGTAAGTTAGACATCAAAATTTTATTAAGTATGGAAAAAAAATTACCCTAGCAACATGATTTTATATGTTTTTTTCTGCTACTTTTAATACTATTTCTACTATTTATTGTTCCCAATTGATACAACTCACTAATTTTATTTTCTTATTATGTCCTTGTCCAATTTTAACATCTAGATCTTTTCTTCTGTCCCAGTTTATTTTAAAAAGGATTTGGTAAAACTTCTCATAAAACAGTGTCTTTAATGGGGAAGTATAACTTTAAATGGAATGGAATAATATAATTTTTTTTTCAGACAGGGTCTTGCTATGCAGTTCAGGCTGCCCTTGAACTCACAATGATCCTCCTGCCTCGACCTCCCGAGCACTAGGATTATAGGTGTGTGTGGCCAAGCCCAGTATATAATTTTTTTGATGCGTGGAGAGCATTTTTAAAATTTTACTTACACAGAAAACAACTAAAAATAAAACAGACTTTCAAAACAGGCTAATATAGGAGAATAGCAATAATTAATGCATTGCATATTGTTATCTTCATAGTAGTTACTCAGAGTACAAGATATAAGCATGAAATATTGTCCAAATCATATTAACACAAACCTTTCTTTTCAATGAACCAAGAGAAACTCCCTGTATAACTATCTTAACTATCTTGTGTGTGTGTATATATATATATTCCTTTGCTCTTTTTCTTCCCCCTTTCTCCCATCAGTTCTTTTCTTTTGAACAGTTTGTTCCCAATTCACAATATCTATTGTACATTTTGGATCTTATTTACTCATTCAGTTTCTCACACTAGTGAGACAATACAACATTTACCCATGTGATTTATTTCACTTATGAGTATGGTCTCAAGTTGCATCCAGTTACCTAAAAAAGTCTTGTGTTTGTCCTTCTTAATGGATGAGTAGTATTCCACTGTACAAAAAAAACACATTTTTTAAATCCATTCCTCAGTTGATGGGTTGTTTCCAAGATTTAACTACTACAAACTGTGTTGCTATAAACATGGGTGAACATATATCACTGCGGTATGATGTTCTTAATTCTTCTAGGAAGATACCCAGAAGATAAATAGCTGGATCAAATGGGACCTCTAACCCTAGTTTTCTGAGGAGTCTCCACACTGATTTTCACAGTGGTTGCACCAGCCCATACTCCCACAAACAGTGGAAAAGTGTTCCTTTCTCCCCACACCCCGCCAGCATTTGTTATTGATTGATTTCTTGATGATAGCCATTTTTACTGGGGTGAGATGGAATCTCAGTGTTGTTTTACTTTGCATCTCTCGGATAAACAATGATGTTGAACATTTTTTCATATATTTATTTGCTATTTGAATTTTTTCATCTGAGAAGTGCATATTCATCTCAGATGCCCATTTTTGCATTGGTTCTTTGAATTTGAGAGGCCTCTATTTTTTCAGTTCTTTATATGTTCTAGATATCAGAAATGCAGGAGATTAAAAACTCCATTGAAAGTATATGCAACAGATTGAATGAAGGTCAGGACAGAATATCAAATCTAGAAGACAGGATTGCAACTAGTGACCAGGAAAAGAGAGATATCTTAAAAATAGCAAGAAACTATGGAATAATGTTGTTTTAAACGTCTCATCACCTTTGATACTCTTCGTTATCAATCTTATACTGTCCCTTTTTCTTGGTAGAGAACTCTAATTTTTGTGGAGGGCAGGTACACAAACGCCGGTTCAGAAAAACCCAGTCCCAGCATACAGAACCGGCCGCTAGATGCAGAAGCTTTGCCAAGACTCATGAAAGAGGCAGATGGGCCCAGGTGGTTCTGAGTACTTCTCAGCGTCCTGTGGAGAGAGGCCTGGTGCCGGGACAGTGGTGCTCACACTGCAGGCGGGGAAGGGGCTCAGGGCAGACCCAGCAGCAGGAGCTGGCAGCCACTGCATGTGCCTGGTTCACCCAACACGCCCAGGTGCCGCCGCCACTGCCCACGCACACATCTCTGTCCACAGCACCTTCTCAGGTGCTTCCAAGGCCTTGCTCCACGTGCCAGCAGGCAAATCCCAGTCCCAGCACTTGGGCACCAGCCTGCGGGGTTCTCCCTCCTGCTGGTCAGGGCCGGAGCTATAAAGAAGAGACAGCCAGGGAGCAGGTCCACCTCTGCAGCCTCCCCTGCGGCCATCCTGCCCCAGAGTTGGCCCATCCTGCGGCTATCCTGCCCCAGGGGCTTTCGGGAAGAGAGGTCCGTTTGGGGCTTTTCTCCTCGGCCCTCTGCAGGAGCCGAGAATCTGAGGCCAGCTCCATCCCAGCACCCAGGAAGCCCACAGTGCCAGTCTGCTCAATGCTTTCAATTTCTTTCTTTTTTGCCACGGGCAGCCTTGTTTTTCGGCCCAGGTATGTTTTCTAGTTCTCTCTAAATTTTATCTGATGTCTATGGGTCTACAGCAACAAGGGCAAGTCTAGTGGCAAACTCACTGGCAATCCTACCAAAAGTGAATTTTAAATATTTTTTTGGAATAAACAATGTAACAAAATTCTTAACTAAACTAAGAAGCTAACATAGTGTAGGTTGTTGATTAGTTTTTTTCCAGAAATTCACTGCTAAAGCATTCATCTACTTTGGGCAGGGGAACTTGGGGGGTACTAACCCCAAATAGGATGTTTTTGTCAATAATTCTAGTAAGTATATTGTCATTATTAAATGTTATGTATTTCTGCACATTGAAATATACAATAATTACATAATGTGATAACGATAAAAAAGTTCTTAGAGCCTCACCACGTGCCAAGAAGACTGAGACTCTATCTCATAGTCTCAACTGCAGTCAAACCTGGACCCACAGGAAGCAAATGTAGGGGGCAGTTCTGCTTCCAAAACCAGGAGCTGATCTCCACTCCACTCCCCTGATGCGTGGAAGACACAAATCTCTCTCCAATCTTGGAACTGTAAGGTATGTCTAACTACTGCCAAACCTTTACAAATATGCCCTTGTTTGGTGAGAATTTGGGAACCCATGATTATTGGTTTTCAAGTCAAGTTTTATGTCATGTTATTCTTCAAGATCTCAGCGTGGAGATAACAGCCATGTTGGGAATGTTTGTAAAATTATACACTACTTTCAAACCCAACATCAATTTCAGACACTGCCGCATAGATGTCTCTGGTGGCCATCTCACCCAGTTTCTTCCTGGTGGACATGGGCAAACCAAGGGCTGAGGGCTGGCCCACATCGTACCGTGGGTCAGAGCCCTGCGCCTCGCTCTCCGGCCATCGCTCCTTCCCGGCTCCTCCCGGCGCACTCCCTGCCTGAGGAAAGCAGCTCAGGTCATTTTAGCAGGTTGAGGCCACCCGGCTTCCTCAGGGCGGGGCGGTCCGAGTTCCCAAAATATGTGACCTTCAGAGTGACAGGCACCCAGGGATCAGATCCGCCTGTGTGCTTCAGAGGTGGCACCAGCAGCGTGCGCTCCCATGGCCCACCCCCGCACGCTGGCACTCCCTCCAGCTGTCGGCTGCTTGCCTGTGTGACTAGTTGACAGCGTGTGCTCTGACAAGGACTCTTTTTGTCACCTCCCGTCAGGGTTTCCTTTCTGCTGAGGTAACTCTCATAGCTTTCAGGCCTAACGTGCAGATAAATGGATCTTTATTTCCCCTTAACTTGCTGGTTTGATTGTTTCAACTTAGTATTTTATTATTGGCAAACAAAAACGGTGTACATTTATGGTGTAAACACCGAATTTTGAAATACACATATATCATGACATGGCTGAATCCAGCTATGTGCATTTCCTCACAAGTATGGATCACATACAATATAGAGCACTGCCCTGCCTAGCCAGGTACCGCCAGGAGGGACACAGATACTGTTGCAGATTCTGGCTTTGAGTTTATTTTGCCACTGAGGAAGTACAGGGGAAAGAGAGCTAAGGGGTAAAGACACGCAGGCGTTTTGAAGCATTTCAGAACCACGGCCTGAAAATGTTTCCAAGCACTGCTAAAGCCACGGCCTCGATGTGAACAGGCATGTCTGGAGAAAGAACGAGCCCTGCTTGGGATAAGAGGCGTTCATCTGCTAATGAGGAAAGAAGTGCCCTCAGTGAAGGCCTGTACTGAGACCTGAACTGCAGTTTGATTTTCCATCTGACTATGGTTAGCTGGTTTTCATTCCAAATTATCTGGACAAATGCCTATTTTCTATTTTGATTCACTATGTAATACCCGCATGAGGCATGTAAAATAATACTTTACTTTTTAAGTGTTGCCTTTCAATTTTATTTAAATTTCCGATAATGTCATGGGTTAGATTACATTAAAAAGTGGTTAATACGTGCCTCTCCTAAAGAAAGACAAAAGAAAAGTATCATACCTGGTGAGGTCTGGATTTCACATTCAACAAGCAGGCTTTCCCTTAAGTCATGATGCACAGTATTTACCGAATGAGGCTAAATTAAGAGCAAAGATAAAAAATGTCCATTTTGTCATCTCGCCACCTGTGTCCCAATGACAGCTTCACACTGCGTGATATAGTTAAGACATTAAACCTCATTTATTTACGTCATCGTGAAATTTATTTAAAAACCTGTCACGGTAACGAGTGGATTTAAAGACAGACAACACCAGGGTAGCCGTGGGTACGAGCATCCCTGCACACACCAAGAGAAACTTCCCGGGAGCCCCTGCTGCGCCAGGACAGGACGTCACCTCAAGGGATGTTTCCACCTTCTGTCTGTTACTGCTGTGGTCTCCTTTAATCCCTGGAGCATCCTGCTGAAACGAGTTTATAAACACAAGTTTGGGGACGGATCAACACCAATACTGTCAAATATCTAAGTCAACAGTTTAAACCCTTCAGACCGCTTCCAACTTTTGGCTGCAAATTGCTCTGTGTCCCTGTATCTCACAGAAGTCTCACAGACATGAGTGTGTCACTTTGTAGGCTGTTTCTCCAGACTGTGTCTTGAGAGAAAAAAATTTCAGAAATCCATGGTCATTACAATGACTTTTCATTACGAAGCAGATGCAGAAATAAGTTCTTGTTAATAAATAATGATGTCCGATGTAACTCTCCATGCCCAAGTAAAAACTATGGAATAGAATTTTTTTTCTATTTTTCTTTTTAAAAAACTATGACAAGCCAAAATATTTGGCACACAGCTACTTCAACTGTCCTTTTTGCTATTTGTCAGTTATAATTTTTAACAGTTTGGGTCACCTGAATTAAACGTGAGTAATCATATCTTTATATGAGCAGTTTCATAAAGATTCCTTTAAGAAACTTATTTCCAAACGACAAATAGTCTTAAATATTTTTCTCAGTCTTTTTAATGGGCATTAACATGAACATGAATTCAAGAGGACAATAAATTCACAAAGTTGTGATCATTTCACCAACGCTAAAGCTGACCTGTACATAACAGGAAAATGCAGTCTTAAAAACATGAAGGAGGTAAGATGTAACATTCGTATAATCAGACATATGTCAATATTTATAAGGCAATCTTATCCATTGACCTTGACTGACCACCAATGGTTTTTACTTGGAAAACACTATTAAAACCCACTCTAAGTCTGTATGAAAACAACTGAACTCTTTTCCCTTTTTTTGCTAAGGCTTTCTGGTGAGATGCCACAATACCTGGATTTCTCCTTTTATTTCTGGATTGCCTCCTTTTATTTCTTTAAAATATAATTACCATGCAGACTTTTCACGACCTGAGCGTCACATCACGCCTGAAAACCTCAGCTTCTGCAGAAACGTTTTCAACTCGTTTTGACAGCTTGAATCCAAAAATCTCGCTCAGCCGCTCTAAGTCCACGCGCGCCTCTCCTCAGTCCGGCGGGCAGGACGGGTTGAGCGGGAGATCGACGAGGTCACCCTCGGTGCCCCCGCCGGCGGGCAGCGGACGCAGCTCAAAACGCCAGCCTCCGCGATCGATCGCCGTCCGCACACGCCGAGCCCGCCGGGCGCTCCTCGGCCGGCTCGGTCCTGTGCCCGGCGCG